AAAAAAAAAAAAAAAAAGAAAAAAAAAATTTTTAAAAAGAAACCTCTATCAGCACATTCTCTCCCACAACCAATACTAAATAGAATTAACCTTTCCCTTTCCTCTATGCCTCCACTATTCTCTTCTATACAGCACCTCAAACACCTCAATTGCCTTATTTATGTCTCTTCTTCTTCAAGTATACTATAAACATCTTGAGTAAGAACTGTGTTCTCTTGATCTTCATGTTCCATAGCACACAGTAGACATTTAATGCTTATTAATTATCAAGTGAGAGGTACTCAAGCTCAGTTCAAAGAAAACAGAAACTATGGACTATTACAGACTAGAAGAAAGAGGACTGTAAAGAAAAAGAGGACCAATATGGGAGCAGAAAGGAAACACAAGGTATAGAGTCCAAAGAATACAAAATATGATCATTTGGGGAATTATTTACACTGAAATGAAAAATTCACAAAGGAATACAAATAGTTTGTATTTTATGGTGGAGGCCTTGAGAAAAGGAATATTAACATTATCATTTTAATATGTACTCAATGTAAAAAAAAAATCAATGAGATAGTTTATACTTTTTTTTTTTTTAATTAAGTCTCCAAAATCCAATATGTATTTATAGCAAGTCTCTATTTGGACTGGTTGCATTTCCAGTGCTCAAGAGCCACGTGTAGCTAGTGGCTACTATACTGAACAACACAGGTCTATAAGACGCAGTAAGCACTTCAAAGTATTTGAACATGATTACACCATGATAAAAATTCTAGAGAATGAACAATGGCAGGACTGTTCAGGAATAGTCATATAACCAGAAGGGTAACAGAGAACACTTTCTTACTCTATTGTACAAACATTTGACAAACATCTTCCAGAATCCAATAAAATGAAACACTATTTGTACTTAGTCCAATTAAGTCATAAAATAACTCTGACTGTATTTAAAAAAAAAAGAATTCTCCCTCATTTTGAGCTGAAGTTTGCTTTTGTTACTGCTTGAGATACTTAGTTTTTCCTTAGTCTTTCTTCCTCCAGATCAAATATCCCTAGTTCCTTCAGCTATTCCTGATATTAAATGGGTTCCAGATGCTCCAGCATTCCAGTCAGCTTATATTCTTGTCTAGTTTTTAATATCTTTCATAAAATCTGGCATAGAAAATAGAAAATAATATTCGTGATGTAATATAAAAGGAAAAGGGAAAACATATTTTAACCTATAATTAATTCATATTCCACACTGAGTGAAAAAAGTTTGGTATAAAAACATTCTTTGTTTTATATACAAATACTTCCTTTTAAGTTAGAAAACAATTTCCTGACATCTAAAAATCTAAAGAGACAAAGATACATTACAGTGAGCCAAAATGGAACCTAAAAAGAAATGAGAACTTATACCCAAACTTTTACTACAAAGAAAATGGTCACATTTATTATTAAATCTGCAATTTTGCATTTTCTCAAAAGCAGTACTCTTAGCAGGTGAACAGTATTAAGGCCAACAGCACGACAATTCAAAAAGAAAAAATAAAAATTCACAATATGATGACCAAACAGAAGTTTTCTATCTTGCAAAGTAGTTTTAAAAGACACATCATCAAAAATCAAAGCAACATAGCTTACTTGTACATCCACAGCAGAGTCATCTTTCAATTTATGTTCTTCTGGAGGAATAGGTAAGTTTGAACCCACTTTTTCCGATAATTCGGCATTGATAGGTCCCTCTCTTTCATCCTATATCGCAACAAAGAAAAAAGGCTAACTGATAAAATTGTTTCACAAAACAGTCCTAAGCAATATTATATACTTTACAACCACAACACTGTCTTGTATGCACTTGACTGTAATTACTTTTATTTGTTTACACGGTTATTGTCCATCTTCCTGCATCCCCTTCCTTGCCACCACAGTGAAAACGGACACTAAATGAGTTCAAGACCCTCATTTGATTTCTTAATAAGCACTTTAGTCCTACCACCCAGCACTATGTATGTGGCAGGATCTCTAATAAGTGAAAGTACGTACATACAGCTCTTTGTGCCATCTCTTTTGACACTTACTTTCAAGTTAGGATTTCAGGTTTAAATATATTTTCTAGCTATACATTTCATAAAAGCAAAGTTCATATTCTTTGTTTATCTAAACAATATATACCAGGTACCTAAATGTTTGCTGAGTTATGTTTCCCCCCTAAATGTTTTGCTTATATTTACTCTCACAACATTTAAGTCTTCAAATTTCTTGTCAGAGATTAGATCAAAGTCTCATAGACTGTGGGTGAAAGTATGAAATTATACTCTTCCTAAAGAGATACTCATTATTTGACATATTCAGCTTAATACAGAAGAATTGAAAATGAGGACTGGTAAATAGTTGCTTTTCATAAATCTTTGACAATTATAACTTCATCTATTAAAAGGCGTATAACAACATTCTGATATAGCGCTCTCAAACATCACTCCATCACACACACATAGACACACACTCTCTCACACAGAACAGGATATTTGGACACAGAAGTCCAAGGTATGTTTTTAGTTAACTTCAGCTACTTTACCTCTTATTCCTCTATGAAAAATCATCCCCTTTTCTTCTACAAAATTTTAGTTCCATTTTTTCCTGATAATTGCTACTAGACTCAGAAAGCACACATAAAAAATAATTTCGCCTCAATTTTATTTTTATTTATTACAGAGAGAAATAAGGGAATATTAGCATTATTATTTTAATTTGGGGCGCCTGGGTGGCGCAGTCGGTTAAGCGTCCGACTTCAGCCAGGTCACGATCTCGCGGTCCGTGAGTTCGAGCCCCGCGTCGGGCTCTGGGCTGACAGCTCAGAACCTGGAGCCTGTTTCCGATTCTGTGTCTCCCTCTCTCTCTGGCCCTCCCCCATTCATGCTCTGTCTCTCTCTGTCTCAAAAATAAATAAACGTTAAAAAAAATTTAAAAAAAAATTTTTTTTTAAAGAAAAATGACTCCCTTTGTCCTCCAGTGGCTCTCTTGAGAGGTCTTTTTGGTTATACCAATGTATGAAAAAGGGCACTCATTACTCTGGATGAAGTATGTAATAAGAATTTTTGTTTTTAGTATCTTAAAAAGTTGCTTGGCCCTATAAAAGGTAGTCTTCAGAGAGGAGACTGATCATTCTTGGGTGAATATAGGCTCCAATATGGGAAAATACCGTGGGACTATGGAGCAACAAGTGTGAAATGCCAACTTGGACAGGGAGAATGGACTCTCATTCGTGGGCTCGGATTAAAGTTATCTTTAAGAATCATTAGAAAAATGACTAAACATGAGAATATGAAATAAAACAAGCATGTCTTTAATATCCAATTCACAGGGAAGAGTGACTGTGTGGCCAGAAACTCTTGTAAATACATCTATCTCCTCCAGAGCTCTCCTCTTACCCCTCTAGTTAACTGGAGGGACTAACAGCATTCAAAATAAAAACATTTACAATTAGAAAAAAAAATAGAGATTCAGCAGCAGTCTTCAGAATTTTAAACGCTCCATCACAGAAATATATCCTCGTTAACTCCAAAATTTGCATAATCTACTCTAAATGTCATGCCAGCCATCCAGGCATGTAATTATAAATCTGTATTTCCACACACACACGCATACACAAGCACATGTGCATATACATAACTGAGAAACAATGCAAAAGTTTGTCAATAAAGAAATATTTAATAAATTATGAAATATCTATATGAATGAATAAAAATGTAGCCATCATAAGAAAATAACATAAAGGGGCGCCTGGGTGGCGCAGTCAGTTAAGCGTCCAACTTCAGCTCAGGTCACGATCTCGCAGTCCGTGAGTTCGAGCCCCGCGTCGGGCTCTGGGCTGATGGCTCAGAGCCTGGAGCCTGGTTCCGATTCTGTGTCTCCCTCTCTCTCTGCCCCTCCCCAGTTCATGCTCTGTCTCTCTCTGTCCCAAAAATAAATAAACGTTGAAAAAAAAAAAAAAAAACAAGAATATAACATAAAAAGGAGTCCATGAGATATTACTGGGGCAGAGGGAAAAGTCAATTTGTAGAATATTTATAATGTGACATTTCATGGAAAATTAAAATATTAATCTGTGTGCCATATAATGGCATATAGATAACTACAAAAAAACTGTCTCAATCTTTTCACAAGAAACAGTAAATTATGGCTCCTTTGGAGAGGAAAATAGAATATAAACATAAATATTTTATAGTTGGTATAAATGACTTCTATACAGTTGATCCTTAAATAATGCAGGGGTTAGGGATACCAAGCCCTAGCACAGTCAAAAATCTCTCTATAACTTTTGACTCCCCCAAAACTTAACTTCTAATAGCTTGTTGTTGACCAAAGCTGTACCAATAATATAAGCAGTAAATTACCACATATTTCGTATATTATACACAGTATACATTTTTACAATGAAGTAAAAGCTAGAGAAGGGGTGCCTGGGTGGCTCATTTGGTTAAGCATCCGACTCTTGATTTTGGCTCAGAGGTCATGATCTCACAGTTTGTGAGTCTGAGCCCCATGTGGGGTTCCACGCTGTCATCTCGGAGCCTGCTTGGGATTCTCTCTCTCCCTCTGCCCCTTCCCCACTCACACACAAGCATGCTCGAAAGAAAAGAAAAGAAAAGAAAAGAAAAGAAAAGAAAAGAAAAGAAAAGAAAAGAAAAGAAAAGAAAAGAAAAGAAAAGAAAAGAAAAGAAAAGAAAAGAAAAGAAAAGAAAAGAAAAGAAAAGAAAAGAAAAGAAAAAGACTTAAAGAAGCTAGAGACAAGAAAATGTTAAGAAAATCATAAGAGAAAATACATTTACAGTACTGTACCATAAAAAATCTGCATATTAGTATGGACACACATAACTCAAGCCCATGTCATTCAAGGGTCAACTGTATTTCAAAATATATATATTGATAGGGGGAAGCCAAATCTAGTCAATACTCACCTTTTTCATTTAAAATGATACAATAATAAATGATTTACAGATCTGGTCTGGTTTTTTGGACTCTCTATTCACTCCATCAAATTATATAAAAAACTATATAACCACTGACTGCAGACTCTCCCTATAATCCTGATTTCTAAGTTCTTATAATAAAACTGGTGTTTCTTTTGAAACCCTTTAACTAATTAGAGCATTAAAAAGTGAGCCACTGGTTTTCAGTTTTCTGAATAGGTATTATTTTCCTCCTTACTCTAGGACTAAGGATGTTAGAACATTCTAAACATAAGCAAAAAGAATAAACATATAAATATTTCAGAGATAGCTTACTTTCAGAATTACCTGAGTAACTCTTCAGATTACAGTGAGAATTACAAATCACCAAAAATTATGACATAGTATTTCTGAAATTACTTTTATTCCGAAAGTTTTGAGGAAGTCTTAGAAAGCTGACACACAAATTACATTGTCAACTTTATTTAAGGTACCTTTTTCTGGAATTGTACATCTTCATTTTCTAGTGCACAATTGTCATCTTGAGAGTAATATGATGAAGCTGAAGAACTCTCTTTACAACATACACGCCAACTGGGAAGCCTGTAAAACATCCACCACCACCAAAAGAAAGAAAGAAGGAAAAGTTGTTAAGCCAACACATTCCCTACCATGGGCTAGAATTTGAGGCAATAAACAAATAGATGGCTCTTACACTAATGCCCTAAAGAACTTAACAATTTAATGAAGACAAATATACATAAGACGAGGGTTTTTATTTAATGCCCTGAAAACAAAAACCATAAACAGTGTGTTATCAGCATCCCAAATTAAGGCATTATGAATTTCATAAAGGTGAAACAGTAAGGCCTTCACAAAAGGAGTGTCTGAAAATTATCACAAAAGGAACAGAAAAAGTTGTCAAAGGGCTAACACCCTCAGAAAGTACCAGATGCCAATAATATTTGAAATTTTACTAAATACTTAAGAAGAGATAACTCCAAGCTACCTAAACTATTTCAAAGCACAGAAGTACAGCTTCCAAAATATTTTTATATAGGAACATGGTAGTGATATCCAAAATTAAGAGAAAGAGCACACACAAGTGAATACTACAGGTTAATACAACTTAGGAAATAGGACACGAAAAGTCTAAATGAAACAATAAAAAAAAAAAAGTCTTTAAGGACATACCAAAGAAATAATATACCACTGTTATGATCAAGTAGAGTTTAGCTCTGATAGTCAAAAGTGGTCGAAATAACAGAATCTGTTTATTTAGTTTACCATGCAAAAAAATATCAAGGAAAAATATGATTATCTTTATAGTCACTGAAAGACATCTGATAAACTTACACATCCATCAAGATTTTTTTAAATAGGAAAAAGCAGATGTTTACCATGGAAACATATATTCATAATACACAAGCCTGAAAGTCAGTACCAAACTTAGTGAAGCAACTTAAAAATAACCCTATTTAGATCTGAAACAAGACAAGAATGTCCATTATTGCTAGTATTACATAATATGATAAAGGATATAAAAATGGAAAAAGAGACAAGAGACAATAAAATCATCATTAATTGCAGATAATGAGTTTATACAGGTGGAAAATTAAAAAGAACCACCTATTAAAAGATATTTTGGGTATAAAAATTATATTCTTAGGTATAAAATTAAGAATCAGGGGTGCCTGAGTGGCTCAGTAAGTTGAGCGTCCAAGTCTTGATTTCAGCTCAGGTAAAGATTCCAGTGTCGTGGGATCTAGCCCCACATCAGGCTCTGCACTGAGCATGGAGCCTGCTTAAGATTCTCTCTCCCTCAGTCCCTCTCCCCTGCTCACGTGCTTTACTCTCTCAAATAAATAAAATAAATAAACAAACAAACAGAATCAACTCAACTCTACTAAAACCATCACAACCAGTTACAAGATGAAATAGAAAAATACCCATTTGTAAAGAAACAATACTAAAATATACACTTAGCTACAAATCAAAACCACAATGAGATACCACCACACACCTGTCAGAATGGCTAAAATTAACAACTCAGAAACAACAGATGTTGGTGATAAGCAGATGCAGAGAAAGGGGAACACTTTTACACTGCTGGTGGGAATGCAAACTGGTGCAGCCACTCTGGAAAACAGTATGGAGGTTCCTCAAAAAATTAAAAAAAGAGCTACCCTATGACCCAGCAATTGCACTACTAGGTATTTACCCAAAGGATACAAAAATGCTGATATGAAGGGGTACATGCACCCCAATGTTTACAGCCACACTATCAACAATAGCCAAATTATGGAAAGAGCCCAAATGTCCATTGACTGATGAATGGATTAAAAAGATGTGTATACACACACACACACACACACACACACACACACACACACACACACACAGGAATATTACTTGGCAATCAAAAAGAATGAAATCTTGCCATTTGCAACAATGTGGATGGAACTAGAATGTATTATGCTAAGCGAAATAGAGAAAGATAAATATATGATTTCACTCATATGTGGCATTTAAGAAACAAAAGAGATGAACATAGGGGAAGGGAAAGAAAAATAAGATAAAAACAGAGAGGGAGGCAAACCATAAGAGACTGTTAAGTACAGAGAACAAACTAAGGGTTTTTGGAGGGGTACTGGGTGGGGGGATGGGCTAAATGGGTGATGGGCACTAAGGAGGGCACTTGGGATGAGCACTGGGTGATATCTGTAAGTGATGAATCACTAAATTCTACTCTTGAAACATTACACTGTATGTTAACTAACTTGGATTTAGTAAATTTAAAAATAAATAAAATAAAATATAAACTTAGCAAGAAATGTTCTATTAAGTAGAACTGCTTCAAATTGCCAATATTTGACAATTCTCTGACATGGAAAAGTCAAATTATAAGATTCAAGTTAGTATATACAGAAGATTTGAAAGATATTTAAGAGCTAAAGATGTTTTTAAGGAGACAGGCTGACTCTAAAGTTTATATAAACAGTAAGAATAGTCAAGAAGATTTTAATTTGAGGAAACTAGATGTCTGTGAAACCACAATGGTTACAACAATATGGTACTGAGATTAGAGGGGGAAAGGGAATCCCCAGGGTGACTGGAAATAGAAATCCTAGGATGACAGCTATACACAGAGAACAGAGGGCAATCTGTCTAAATTGGAGGTAATGAGAAACTCTTAGAAGAACCTTCTTTCAGAGGATGAAACTGACGGCATACCTGACAGGTCTTTGAAAATCTTAACTACAGATTTATGTAACTGGCAGTTTGTAATTAAATAGAAACATAAAGGGTGCCTGGATGGCTCAGTCAGTTAAGCACTGATTTTTGCTCAGGTCATGTGATCTTACAGTTGGTAAGACTGAGCCCTGAGTAGGGCTCTGCGCTGATAGCTCTAAGCCTGCTTGAGATTCTCTCTCCTTCTCTATGCCCCTCCCCCACTTGAGCGCAAATACATGAGCACTCTTTCTCTCTCAAAAATAAACATTTAAAACATAAATTCCTTGAGAACCAATTCCTAACCACTTTAACCTCACCCCACAAAGCCAAAACTTGCAAATATAAGGTGCTTAATAAATATTTGTTAAATGAATGAAAGGTCTGTGGAGAAATGTTTTGTAGCACACACCAGAGGGAAATTCAGTCCTTTTTTATTCCTCTCCCATCACCATGTCACCTCACCACTACCACTCCCCAAACTCATCCACCCACCACTTCATCACACACATAAACTCAAAAAAAGAGAGTCTGGAGACTAAGAGGATATTTATCCTTTTTTGTCAGCTTCTCCCTACCAATGTGGCATGGATTTGCCATTCATAAAGAAAGGCATTAACTGTATGATTAAACAAAAATCACATTTGAGTGCCATTTAGGATACCAAGCTTTACACACTTTAGTGAAACAAGAGTATCATACATGCTGGTTATTATGCTTACAGAAAATACTCACTAACATCCAGTCTGAAAGCCTTACTAGTCACAAGTACCAGTAGTTATAAAGTATGTGTGTGTGCATGCTTTTCAAAGAAAAATGACCATCTGACATCTTGAGCAAGAAAAATGTTTAAAGGATTAAAAACAGTAAATCTATAACAAAATCAACCAAAGTAGAATCTACATGGCTGAAAAGTCATCTTTAAAAGAAAACTTACGTTAAGCAGATTTTAAATTTAAAATTTTTCTTTACGCAAACTTGGAAAAGGAATTTTTTTGGTAACTTTATGTACTTATTATCTTATCATTATGGTAGTGTCACAAATGTTCTACCAATCAAACTGTCATTTCCTTTTACATGTAGTTGATGTTCTAATCTAAATGATACAACCAATCAATATACTTAGAAAACCTAGCAAAGGCATATGGCAAATAGTCAATAAATACTCAAGTGATTTCTTCTTCCAAACTTTTTAAAAACCATTTTCAACTAAAAATATGTGTATAAATATGTTCATATATATATATATATATATATGTACACATACACATATGTATATGTATGTGTGTGTATACATATATACATACATGTAGATATATATATACACACACACACATATACACTGAATATGTAGAATATTCTTATGGAAAACAAATCATTTTCTGGGTAGGAATTTTGAGGGTGAGGGTGGGAGGGGTAAAAATACCATCAATCTAGCTTTGTGTTCTCTAGCTTTAGGTTATCTTTAACAGAGAACTACACACACACACACACACGCACAAACCCAAACAGTGTCTCAAGAACTAAGAAATATAACAAATCAGTTTTATCTATACAAGTAACTGTACATTAAAAAAAAAAAAGTTTTGGGGCGACTGGGTGGCGCAGTCGGTTAAGCATCCAACTTCAGCCAGGTCACGATCTCGCGGTCCGTGAGTTCGAGCCCCGCGTCAGGCTCTGGGCTGATGGCTCAGAGCCTGGAGCCTGTTTCCGATTCTGTGTCTCCCTCTCTCTCTGCCCCTCCCCCGTTCATGCTCTGTCTCTCTCTGTCCCAAAAATAAATAAACGTTGAAAAAAAAAATTAAAAAAAATAAAAATTAAAAAAAAAAAAGTTTTGCAAACAGGGGACCAAATTACCAAAGATTAGTACTATTCTCCAAAACTTAAAACATGAAGAAAAACTTACAGGAACCATTAAATCAATCAACAAATTTCATAAAAATTTAGTCAAAACCAAAATGAGATCAAATTTCAGCTGATAGAATGACCTAATTTTTAAAATTTTATTTAAGAGCTGAAATTGCCACATAATTTCCTCAAGACCTTTAAACATCAACGAATTCAAAAGCTCTGGACTTCAGCAAATAATTATTAGGGTCTGATGGGAGGTGAAAAATAATAGAAATAAAATTTAAGTTGGGATAGCATTCCTGTTAAGAACATGCCTAGTGTGTGTGTGGCTATCTTTCATGGACCTTCTTTTATTAAAGTACTTCCTGGGGCAGCTCAGTCAGTTAAGCATCCAACTCTTGATTTTGGCTCAGGTCATGATCTCAAGGTTTGTGAGATCAAGCCTCGCTTCGGGCTCTGTGTTGACACTGTGGAGCCAGATTGGGATTCTCTCCCCACCCCCCTCTGCTCCTACCCTGCTC